CACCCGGGCTGGAGTGCAGTGGTGCGATCTCAGCTCACTGCATCCTCTACCTCCCAGGTTCAAGCAATTCTCCTGCCTCAGCCTCCCGAGTAGCTGGGATTACAGGCGCCTGCCACCACGCACAGCTAATTTTTTTGTATTTTTAGTAGAGACAGGGTTTCACCATTTTGGCCAGGTTGGTCTCGAACTCCTGACCTCGTTATTTGCCTGCTTCGGCCTCCCAAAATGCTGGGATTATAGGCATGAGCCACTGCACCCACCCTCATCCTTATATTTCCATACTTGACCTTAGCCAAAAGACTGAGACACAATCGTCCTTGTGTTTCTAATGCTTAGTACTTGGACTGTCATCGTAGGCATTAATATGAATGAATGAATAAAAATATAATTTACTATAGAATAATATGTGCAGAATTTTTAATATATTTGGATTTTTGTTATATTTGTAAGCTATAACTATTTTACCAGGCTTAAACAACACGATTTTGTTACTGTTCGAAGTTTTTAGATTGAGCATATAATGTATTAATTTATTACTTGCAGGATTTCGTGAGTTTTGAATACTATTTAAAACATGAGCTTGCTATAGGGCATTTAATAATTCTTTCTACAAATGTTTATTGTGTTCCATATGCCAGACATTGGTAGCTTGAGGAGAAGACAAAGACAAGAAAACATTTCTTTCTTTTTTGTTTGTTTGTCCCTCCAGGGGATGGAGGCAGAAGGGAATGGAATAAAAAACAAAGAGGAGGGGTTGGCCTTGGCAAGTAGAGGGTAGGGAACTGAAATATTGGGGTTAGAAATAGGGACAGGTAGTGGTAAGTTGCAAGTTTGAACAAAATACTGAATATCCAACGTTTAATGGTCTCTCTTTCTGTGAAACAGAAGAAACTGGGATATGGAGAATTGGAAAGAGAAACAGTTGATGATGAAATAATTTTGATTGATGGGGCCAATTTTGTCATAAGAAATTAATTATAGCAAGTTTGTCACTTGGAGAATGGTCACATTTCCTGAATTATAAACTGAATTCATAATTTACTTCATTATATTTTCATCCTAGAAAGCTTCCTTACTGTCACTTGTAGCCTTTTCAAGTCTCTGCATTTATTGTGTAATAATCTCATCACAGGCATTTGAGATTCTGTAATAATTGTTTTGAACTGTAAGAATTCATAGATATAAATTTGAATAATGAGCAAAGGAAGAAATAAAGGAGTAGAATTTAGCTTCAAAATAATTGTTTACCTTGACTATGAAAAGCAGGTAACTTTACATATTGAGGAATGCAGCATGAGCTATTACTCTGTTCAAGTCACTGAGCCAGATGGCATGAAGCATTTCATTGCATGACACCAAATTTAATCTCTTAATCCCTAAACTGATAAATGAGTCCTCCTAAAACTGAAATAATTTTGATTATTTGTAAGAAGAGTTTTATATACTTATAGAGTACATTAAGAGTTTTACTGATTATTTTACTGATTATTAGACTATTACTATAAAGCTGAAATGTGTATTTTGTAAATGTTAATCATTTAATATAAAGTCTCAATACTATCTGGGAGAATCCCTAACCAAAATAGCCCAAATCCTGCCATAAAGGATACGATGAATGTGGTCGTTTACGTGAATCCATTTTGAATATTTGGGGAATAACTGGTTTTCCCCCCACTATGATGTAACAAAGCTATCCACATTACAAGGAATGTTACTTAAGATGATCTCTGCCACCTTTTTCTTCCTCTGTAGGCGCCTAACCAAGGAAAATGTGAAGCCTTCTGGAAGACAAATTGGGAAGCTGAGCCACAGCAATCCAACCATTTTGTTTGATTATGTATGTTTTGAGGTTAATATTATTTTAAGGGATTTTTCTTTTTGTTGCCTTTAAATCAGTGCAAGTGGAAGTTAGAAAATGAAATATTGTAAGGTTACGCTAAAAAGAAAAGTATTATACAATGTATTTAACACATTGATCTATTTTTCTATTAATAGTAATATGTAACAGTGTTAATATTATAGACAATATAATGTTATTTTGTATACCACATTTTGATTTCTAGAAGTGTTACTTGTTGAATTTAGTTTTTAGAAACATTCAAATAACATTTCATTGTGATTGATACTTAATACTAGTACTTCAATATTTAGACATATCTTTCTTTCTTTTTTTTTTTTTGAGATGAAATCTCGCTCTTGTCACCCAGGCTGGAGTGCAGTGGCATGATCTCGGCTCACCACAACCTGCACCTCCTGGGTTCAAGCAATTCTCCCGCCTCAGCCTCCTGAGTAGTTGGGATTATAGTTGTGTGCCACTGCACACAGCTATGTTTTTTGTATTTTTCGTAGAGACGAGATTTCACCATGTTGGCCAGGCTGGTCTTGAACTCCTGACCTTGGGTAATCTGTCTGCTTTGGCCTTCTAAAGTGCTAGAATTATAGGCATGAGCCACCATGCCTTGCCAATATTTAGAGATTTCTAAAACACATGAGAGAGACTACACTCTTTCATTCCAAAATTGAGCTTTGGACCAACTGGAATGATTTCCTTTTTAAATTTTTTTTTTAAGCTTCAGGGCGTACATGTGCAGGTTTATTACATGTATATATTCCATAATGCTGGGGTTGGGACTTCTATTGAACCCTTCACCCAAATAGTGAGCATAGTACCCAATAGGTAGTTTTCAAACCTTGCCCCACCACCCCCCCTTACTTTTAGAGTCCCCAGTGTCTTTCTGTCTTTATGTGCCTGCAAACCCATAGTAAAGTTTCAGGATACAAAATTAACATACAAAAATCAGTAACATTCTATACACCAAATAATGTTCAAGTTGAAAACCAAATCAAGAGCACAATTCCATTTACAATAGCCACAAAAAAAGTACCAGGAGATACATCTAACCAAGGAAGTGAAAGATTTCTACTAGAACTATAAAACACTGATGATAGAAATCATAGTGATACAAGCAAATGGAAAGACATTTCATGCTCTTGGATCGGAAGAATCAGTATAGTTAAAATATCCATACTGCCCAAAGGAATCTGCAGATTCATTGCAATTCCAAATTACCAGAATTGGGATTTTTTCCTAACTGAAAAATGTAGCCTAAGAAAATATTCTCTAAGGCAACAACACAATAGTAATTTCTATATAAATATGAAGTGATAGGAAACCACTTTAATTATAAGCATTATTTCTTTTGACAAATAAAGTGTAGCCATTACTTAGTTGGTACAGTAGAAATCCTTTGATTAGTTAATGCCTTCTGTTGTTTGTTGCTGTTTTCCAGATCTTGTCACAAATACAGAAGTATGATAACTTAATAACACCTGTAGTAGATTCATTGAAATACCTCACTTCATTGAATTATGATGTTTTGGCCTGTATCCTTTAAAGGGAAGTAATATGTAGATTTCATATTTAATAGATAATATGGTAAATGCTTTATTTTTGTTCTGTTTTTCTTTAGTCACCATCTGAGGTTGATTCAGATGGCTGATCTGAAGTTTGGTCAGTCAAGCGTGTGTGTGTGTGTGAGAGAGAGAGAGTGTGGTGTATGTGTGTGTGTCTTTGTGTTGTATAAAGGGAGACATGTTAGGCTCACGGGAGAGCGTGAATTTAAAAAACACATTGATGTTAGTCAACTAAAGTCAAATTTTTTAATGCAGAATTTCAAATATTGTGGGTGTTGG